GAAAGAGCCTCAGCTTTCCAATCACACAAGCCCAGCTCCTCTGGCAAATCATTGAACTCTCTGAGCCTCAGTTTCCCCACGAGTAAGGAGGGGATGAGAACACAGGCCTCTGAAGGGTGATGAACCGATGCGGTGAGCTGGCAGCGCTGGAGGCCCTAATACTTTGGGGCTGAAATAGAAACAGGCCAGTTCCGCGTGCCTGGGGCATGTGCCCCACCAACAACGGTCAGGCCACAGCCCCGCCTCCGCTGGCCACACGGTACACACCGCCCACAAGATGCCACTGACCTGTCGGACTCCGGCTCATGATGATGGGGGTGGCGGCTGCCCCCAGGCTGGGGCTCTCGCTGCTTGGGGACGGGCTGTAGACAAACACCTCCTGCTTGAAGGGAGAGGTTGTGGACGGCTGGCTGCTCTGGGGAGAGAGGCTGGGCGAGTGACGCAGCTCCACCCTCGGCAGCCTGAGACAGGCTGCCCCGCCCCCTCCTACCCCGGGCGCTCCCAGAGGGTGGCGATGGCCGACTGGGCCCTCTCCTGTTTCCACGCTTCTCCTTTTATCTGCAGAGCCTGCCGGGGGCTCTGCCCACAGTAGCTATGTTAATGCACAGAGCGGTATCCGGCTGGGCCCAGGGTGCCCCCACAACCCCGCTCCCCAGCGTCGGACGCGGCCACACCTACCCCACTGTCACACTCCTCCATGGCCTCGCCCTCCCCTGCCGTGCTGCTGAAGCTGCTTGTGCTGGAGGAGGAGCGGGAGATGTTGGCTCGGCCATTCTCCTTCAACTTTATGAAGGGCCTGCGGGGAACAGGAAGCCAGCCCCTGCTCACACGCCGAGACCCCCGCCACGGCCCTCCCGGGACTGAGGACGAGGCAGGCCCAGCAGGCCTGAGTTCGCCCACCAGCAGCCCCCCGCGTGCACCTGCTGGTGGACTTTTGCGTTCCGGAGGGTTCCCAAGGCAAGAGACGCCAACTCTCAGCTTGCCTGGAGCAAAGCACATATCCCCGGGCCCCGGTGGCTAAAGCCAGCCCCCAGGCCACACCCTCTTACTTCTCCTTGCTGGGGCAGATTTCCGGAGAGCTGGGATTGGATGAGGTCTCAGACTTTATCTCCTGAGAAGAGTGTCCGCCCTCTGGGGTCTTCGGGTTGCTGGATGCACTGTCGCTGAGGAAGTGAGGATGAAGGAGTGAGGCCCTGGGCCCAGCCCCCCACCCACCCCCAGCACTCAGCACCGTGGGGACCTGTGGGGCACAGCGCCCCTGCCAGAGCACGGCCACCGGACCTCCGTTCCCACCCGAGCCGCCCTCAGACACTGCAACAGACAAGAGAATTCTCTGCTCCATCAGGGGCTACTCCAGGCTCCTCGGTGAGAGTCAAGACCTATCCTGGCTTGATGTCCCTGAGCCCAAGTCCACCCCCCACCCAAGCTGGCCATCCCACCCAGCAGAGCTCCAGGTCAAGGGCAGGCCACAGAGGGAATGGAAGGGGTCTGGGACATCCACCCAACAGGGAAACAACCCAGTACACACGGGTTCCTCAGGGTGCTGGCCAGGCCACCCACTGCTTAACTCCGGGGGACACACTTCACACAGACTGTAAAATGAACGCTCTGGATCCGGATGATGAAGCGGCCCTTGTGCTGGGACGTGGGCCACTCTCGGCCTGGGGCTCCAGGGTTTCCTCCTCCTCTAGTTTACCAAAGACCATGCACTGACACCCACTGTTTAGCCGGTGCCCGCTGCTGGGGACATGATGGGCCTGTCCTCAATGCACTTCTATTTTTATAACAGCTTTATTGAGATATAATCCGCATACAATTTACCCATTTAAAGTGTGCAATTCAATGGTTTTTAGTATATCCACAGAGTTGTACAACCATCACCATGATCTAATTTTAGAACATTTTAGTCCCCCCTAAAAGAAACTCTGGACCCACTCACAATCACTGCCCATTCTCCCCTCCCCCTGGCCCCTGGCAACCACTTGTCTACTTTCTGCCTCTATGGATTTTCCCATTTGGGACATTCCATATAAATGGAATCATACAATATGGTGTGGTCTTTTTGTGACTGACTTCTTTCACTTAGCATAGTGTTTTCGAGGTTCATCTACGTTGTAGTAGGTATCAGTATTTCACTCCTTTTTGTTGCAAAATAATATTCCATTCTATGGATATACCACATTTTATTTACCCACTCAATGAGTGATGAACATTTGGACTGTTTCCACTTTCGGCTATTATGAATAATGCTGCTATGAACATCTCTGTGCTAGTTTTTATGTAGACACATGTATTCTTTCTCTCGGGTACATACCTAGGATTGGAATTGCTGGGACATTTGGTAACTCTCTGTTTAACCCTCTGGTGAACTGCCAGACTGCTTTCCCAAGCAGTTGCACCATTTTACATTCCCACCAGCTATGCATGAGGGTTCCAAATCCTCCACATCCTTCCCAGCACGTGTTATTATCTTTTTGTTTTATAGACATCCCAGAGCCGAGAGGTGCCTCCAGGCACTTTTAATGAGGTTGCTAATGACCTCCTAATTGTCAACCCGAGCAGGGGTTTGGGTCACTGAGCTGGACTTCTCTGCGTGCCTGACACAGCTGCCCCTCCCTCCTGGAATGCCCCCTCTCCTGGCCTCTAAGATCCACCCCCTCTCCCCTACACCTCCAGGCTCGCTCCTCTCATATTCTTCCCAGTCTTCTTCACCGGCTCTCCTCTCTCCACTTGCCCTTAAACGCAGGTGTTCCCCAGGCATTCTATACACCCGCCCCCCCGTGTGGCTGGATTCCTTGGTCCCTCTCTAAACACCACCTCCACCCCCAGGGACTCCCATCTTTTCTTCTCCAGCCAAGGTCTCTCTCCTAAGCTCAAGACCTGCAGTTCTGACCACCCCCGATCCTGCCCTTCTCTCCTGGGGGGCCCACAAGGACTCACTCACATGTACAGGTTCCAAACAGCTTTTCATCCCCCTGCATAAACCTGCCCCTGGTGCTGCACGCCCAAGCTCAGGGGATGGTGCCATCCAGGGCCGCAGACAGACAACTTGGAAGCCTGGACATCAGCCTAAAAGCCTCCCTTTCCCTCACAAGACTGTAAGCTTCTGGAAGGCAGGTTTGCATCTTCTGTAGATCTGTCAGAGCACTGAGCCCAGCACACGGCAGGCACTCAGCGATGCTGCTTGCCGAATTAAATGACAAGAGGGGGCTTCCCTGGTGGCGCAGTGGTTGAGAGTCCGCCTGCCGATGCAGGGGACGCGGGTTCGTGCCCCGG